CCAAACCCAAAACCCTAAACCCCAACAAAAGCCCGATTTGAGAGGCTCCGAAGCTCTGAGCCATAGCCCCTAAGCTTATCACCTGGAGCCTCAAAAAGCCCACTCCCCGAAATTAACCTGGGCTCTTGCCAAGGGATTTAACTTAAGTTGCCATGATAAAGAAACCCTACTACTTAGTATAGATCCCTAAGATGAAAACTGCCAAGGGCTTCACGTTAAGTTACCATAATACAGAGACCTTATTACTAAGTACAGATCCCTATTATGAGAACTTTAAAGAGATCCCTGAGCCAGAGCCCAGTTTCGGAGGTATGTGGTCTTCACAGATACCCACAACATCATCGCCAGCCCGATGTCCATTCTGGTGGACGGCAGAGGCGCTTGTGTCGGCATTTTGCGTTCAGGATTACGCTTTCGGTGGTTTTTGGGTTTCAGGGTATAGGTTGCAGGTGAATTATATACGGATTGAAGGGTATTCCGGTTTTCATGGTTTAGGATAAGAAAGGGTTTGTGACGTCGGATTTAGGGTGTAGAAAGAGACCTGGATCCAGCTCCTTACGTTACAAAGCTAGGACCCCTTGCAACAAGGACACCCCGAAAAAGGGACCTTGAGGCTAAAAAAGAGCTAAACAATTCGGGCTTGGGGTGAGCATGCGCCAAGAGCTTCAGGAGTCTCATCACAAAAAACCTATGCACTACTTTTTTTTTAGAAGCCCTGTGTTGGATGCCAAGAGGAAAAGCATCCCACTTCATATACCCTTCCAGCCGTCAAGCACACCAATCGACATTTCAATCTGAAGGGCGTCGCCTCACACGATACCTGGTCAGAAGCCACTAGCATTGAACTCCGGCAGCCACAGCTGCAACGCCCCCAAAAAATGTCAGAGCCTGCAGCCCTAAAATGAGTAGTTCGCAAATGAGGGTCCCGTTTAGGGTCTTTTTTTTTTTAAGGTGCCGTACTATAATTGGCGACCTAAATAGGGACCCTAATATAGAGAGAACTACCCAAACACCTTCCCAGGCTTCCCGGTGCTCCCCTACGTGCCAGCCAGCTCTTGGTCCTGCCAGCAGTACAGTTCCTGCACCTCCGAGCCTCGTGCGAGTTGGTGCTTGTCTTTTCAGTTTTGGGGTGTTGGGTTTGGGGGGTACCGGGGTTCAGGGTTCGGGTTTTATGGTTTAGGGGTATAGGGTATCGGGGTTTAGGGTTTAGGGTATCGGGGTTTAGGGTTCAGGGTTTAGGGCTTACGGGTCTGGGTATCGGGGTTTAGTGTTTAGGGTTTTGGGGGCTTTAGGGTTCCGGGTTTTAGGGTTTAGGGTATCGCGGTTTAGGGTTTGGGACTTCAGGGTTTCGGGCTCAGGGCTTACGGTTCTCCTCCCAAGCCGAGACCACCATGGCCAGCTTGGCCACCACCGTTCGCACTACGAAGTACCACACCACCACCATTGCCGCCGTTGTTTACTGCCCTGAATCTCAGAATCAAGCCGTGAAGCCACGTCTTGCTCCAAACGAAACGATACAGCCTGGCGGCTGAAGCACTTAGGCGCACGGGCTTGCAGATTCGAGGATGTCGCCTTTCAACTTTCGGGTCGTAGTGTTGGTCGGTAGGCCTCCGGCCTCAGCGATTAGAACCATGAAACTTGCCCTGCTCTCTTTGGCTATCCCTGCGAACAAGCCAGCCGACAACCACCCCGAAACTGGCTGAACCAGAAATTTTTCTTAAGGGTAGGTCTCTGGGTTTGGTGCTTGCAGATACCGGGGTCAACGTCACACATGGTAGTTACACCCTGGTGGGTTGGAGCATGGAAAGGCAGCAGCGTGGACAGGTGTCCGGGTTACGGGTCTGAGGGTTCCCGTGCGGCCTAGGCGCAAGCCCAAACGTTGAAGCCCATATGTTGTGGCTTGACCCATAAGCTCTAAGTCTTCGAAACTACACCCGACTTCATGGCTCTCAGATGAGGAGCTGGAGGAAGCAGAGCTCTTCTTCGGTGTTCGGCTTCAGTATCATCACGACACACAGGCGCCCCAATGGCAAGTCTGATGCAGTAAGGCGCTCGTAGTGTCAATTCTCTGGCCGAGGTTTTCGCGAACGATGCAAAGATCGTTACAGGGAGGTCTGTGCGGACACAGCCTATGTTTAGGTTAAACCTCCTAGGCTCTGACTACACCCCAACCATGTGATGATCCGCTGATCCCCCAACTCTGAATTCATAACATCCATAATGCCAAACCCTACAGCGCAGGTGACCTGAAACCTCGAAGCCCAAACTCTCAACCCAACATCGCGGCTGGATTTTGTGCGCACTCATCAAAGCTGCGGTTTCAGGAGGCTCTTGAGCATTTAGTTCTGCGCTCTACCCTGTAGCACTGTAGTGCACACTGAAGATTTCCCCCTCTACACTCGGAAGGATTAGATCCCATGAAGCTCCAACTTGGTGAGAAGGCCAGCAACCTCAAGAGTCTTGAACTTCCTGGTTCGCAGACCTGGAAGTTACATCCTGAACCTAAAACCCTGAACCGCCGGACTCTCCAGTTCGAGGCGAGCCCTTGAAACACAACTTGAAAGTCGAAAGTCTCGAAAGGAAACGGTCTACTACACGGACCTATACCAGCAGCACTGTGCGGCCCGGAGTACAGTACTGCGCCTTTTGGGCAGCACTGGCAATTTTGTGCCCGTGAACCCTCTGCATCCACGAACGGTTGACCCGGAAGCTAAATTCCCCCAATAAACCTCACACCCTAAGCCTGTATCTAAATCCCTCAAGCCGAAATCCCCGAACCTCCGTCTGTGCTGAGTTTTTCCCTCAGCTGTTCACTTGCAGTGCTGATTCTGGTTTCAGGGCTTGAAATGGAGTATCGGGTGTAGTCAACTGTAATCGCATGGGGTAGGCTTCATACTAGGGTCTGTTAGGCTTCGTCGAAATGAAATGTAAACCTGGGGGTGTTTCTTGGGGATCTCCGCAACCAAACCGCTACGTCAAATGGGAGTTTGAGACAGGGCACCCCTTGGCGCAGACCCAAGCTATTGGCAACAGGATCCTTGCAGCAAGGATGTCTATCTGAGCAGGCACACACACAGGAGATCACAGAAGCAAGATTCCTCCTTCGCCTTGAACCCCACCCAAGATGTTGATCAAAAAGATCGAAGGAAGCCCTAAGAGAGATCCTGAAGTATGGCGGTGCAGACATTGAAACACACCGAAGGCCTAAGCCCAAGGGCGCGACATACATACACCCTGAACCCTGTTGTCGAGGTGAGCTTCCCAAGTATGGCCAATGTGGCTATGTGCACGGACCCACGGCAGACGGCTACATCGCCCGCGGCCCCAGAGGGTGTGCGACATCACGAGATGTACCGGCCGCGAGCCCGAGCAGTTCCGCAGATTCTGCCTTGACAACCTGCTTCAAGTACCGGAAACGAATGTCCATTGCACCCTCCAATGTGTAGAACTTCAGCAGCTTCCGTTGACTTGGCCCCGGCTCCCCGTCCTTCAACCCTGAATCCCAATCCCAATCCCAAAGCCATCAACTCTAAGCCCAAAAATCCGAAACTCCAACCAAGCTCGAGCCCTTCGATTTATGCATTATTGTATGTTTTGCTAGATCATGTACTATTATATTATCTCATATATTCTATTTTACTCTGTTTCGTTATAAGCGCCAAGCCCAAAGTTCACTTCTTTCTGGAGGTTTGGGTTTCGTCCTCTTGGGAGGTCGGTACTTCTGGGGGCCCTGAAGCCCTAAACCCTAAACCCTGAACCCTAAAGGGTTTATTTAGGGTTTGAGGTTTAGGGTTTAGGGTTGGGGTTTAGGGTTTCCTGAACCCTAATGTAGGTTGGTGCCCCAGTAATAACCGTAATCACAATCCCGCTGAGAATAGAAAAACTTGGGCTGCATGACAGGATTATGATACTAAGGAGTCCGAAAAAATACAATTGGTAAGAATTGGGGCCAAGATAGGAGTAGGGCTTCAGTTTCTTTCGAAACTTGTTTGCATCATGCAATGCCCGGCAAGCACTCAACCCAAACCTATACTCTCAACCTCAACCCCAAATCCCATACAATGTTAAGTTCCAAGGCGTACAAAGGCAATAACTCCGGTTTTCCATTGTCGTATCCAGCCCTCAGCTCTAAACTCTAAACCCTTAGCCCGAATGCTATTGCTGGCCCTGAGCCCTAAATTCTAAACCCCAAACCTAAACCCCTACATGGTCCCTGTATCTATCAGGCCTGGCTCCTCTCGCAGCAAGACGCCTTGGGCTTCAACTATGTAGCCTGGCTTGGCTCTGCTGACACACTGACTTCGGGATGCTCTTCTTTTGTAGGGGTTTAGGGCTTAGGGCTTACAGGCTGGGGGTCTAGCGATTTCGAGGTTTAGGGTTTGGGATTTTCGGATTTAGCTCTGCAACTGTAGAGTTTTGTTGTCTTGGGCTTCAGGTTGTGCTTTTTGTCGCTTAGGGCAAGATCAGGGTTCGCGGTTTCGGTTTCAGAGCAAACCCTTCGATTTTGGCGATGCAGTGTTTCTAACTTTGGCGTGTCAGGAATGAGTTGAGAACCGGGAGTACTTTGCATGGAGCTTAACCCAAATCCTAAAGCTCCATTCCCCAAGGCCCTAAGCAAAGCGCCGGAGGGCTTCAGAGTTGCAGGTGCCCTACTCAATCTTCAGGGTATAGGGTTTAGGGTTTAGGGTTTTGGGGGGGGTGCTCTAAGGCTTTTCGGGCTGAGTGGGAGAAGTTCACGAACTCCACGAAGAACAGCTTGGGACTTTGAGGCTGCGAGCTTAAACCTCTACTAAGCTACCCTACACCCTAAGCCTAAAGCTCCGCCCCCTAAACCCGGGGGTCTTGCCCAGGTGCCCAGGAACAAGCAGCAAGTGGGCTTCAGGCAGGCCATGGACCCACTCAGTTGACCTCAGGTTCACTTTCGGGTCCATATTGGGAGTCGGAATAATTGGTTGTAGCACTACGTTTTGTCCCTTGTCATCACCATATTCTAACATACTATCATACCCCCCCGAAAGCGCTTTTCTAATCATAAGGAGGCCCCTTCAAGCCACCCTTATAGTAACCCTGACAGAACCCCGAAAAGGATCCCTTATGGAAACCCTTACCCTTATAGAAATCTGAAGGGGGCCCTTAAAGGAACCAGGGTTCCTTTAAAGGGTTCCTGAAAGGAACCTTTTTTCGAAGGGTTCCTTCAAGGGATACAGTATGCTCGGTTAAGCTCGCTATAATCACATCTTATGTCAACAAGCCCATTCAGGGTTTGGGGCTGCGGGTTTTGAGAGCCAGCTGTGTTGGGGTGTCAAGGTTTAAAGCGGCATCAGGGCGGCTTCGCTTGCAGGTCTTGGGGTACAGCCGTCACTCCTCACCCGGTCGACACGCGGACATGCTCTGTGTCGCTGGATTGCATGTCGCTTCCAGGGCGGTTCAGGGGTACCACGAAGGCCTTGAGACAGATACCTAAAGCCCTAAACCCTAATAACCCCCTAAACCCTAAACCTTCAACCCTAAACCCTAAACCTTCAACGTTGTTCGGCTTCTGGGTTCAGCTGTTGAGACTTGAGGCTTTGCTTAAACAAGAAAAGGGCCCTGACTCCCGCCCTTGATCCTGAAGAGGAGGCCGGGTCTTCCGAAGATTTGCATCCCTTCAGGGCCCTTAGTGGAGCTCAAGTCTACGGGTAGTTCTCTAAACCGGGGTCCTTCTGGGTTCCCTTGTTATAAGGGTGCCGCACGATTTTGGGGACCTACAAAGAAGCACCCCAGTGTTTCGAGAACTACCCCTTTAGTGGACAGTCGCTGCTCAGAGGCCGTAACTAATTGGAAGCAGCCAACTCTCAGCTTCTCTGGACATGAGTGGCTTGAATCTTCGATCCCTGTTTCGGCCTTTGCGGGTTGCAGGTTCCGGGGGTTTCGGCTTGAGGCCGTGAGCTTCGCGCCCGGCAGCATCTGATGTTGGGCCTCATAACCCTTACATACTTCCATAGTTATCTGATAAGCCACAGTCCCCGAAAGTTTGAGACTAACGGCCGGCTCAGGTACAAGGAGTCCGACTTCTTGATGGCGCAGGGCAGCATCGATGCAAGCATCGA